AGGGTGCAAGTCCCAGCTCTCGGCATCTGCACCGGCACTGGCCAAACCGGCTGGGCAAGCTGGTGGCTGCAGGTCTCTGCCGAGTAGGTGTTTCATCTGGGGCCGTGCCAAGCACCGCAGGCTGAAACCAGGGCACTGTAGGAGATGCCGTCTGACCCAGGCAGGATCAGAGGGCAATGCCAGGCTCTTCAGCCCTGCCAGAAGCCAGTCAATGACTATCTTCACTCCAGTTTATGTTCCTGCCCTCGTAACTCCCAAGGGAAGGTTGGACACACAATGGCTGCAACCCTCTCTGTATCTCCAGGCTAATGCCTTGTCTCATCTCTCCCTACCTCACCCGGGCAACCGGTGGGAGATGCGCAGCCCAAAGCTGTGTGGGGAAGAGTCTGCTCCTGCTGCTCGTGGCTAGAGGGCTTGCAGGGGGCCCTGCCCTTCATGCCTGCACGTCCACATGCTGGTCCACCACTGCTTGGCGTGCATGAGGGGAAAAAAATATGATCCACCACTGTGCCTTTATCATGGCACTTGTGCAGCCACCGGCACCCGCAGGCCACAGTGCATTTTTCCATCGTGTTAAAAAAAGGTAAGAATACGGTGCTCATACCTAGAGTTTACCATTCATATACTAATTTATTAACACTTCTTTTTCAGAAGCTCCAGACAAATAAAACACAAGTCTGATGCAGTAACACATGGTTATTTATAATCATCATGAAGGTTCTTAAGAGGAATCGTTTCTTCATGGTCCCTGTTTTTCACCTATCCTTTCTTTTTTTAGGCAGAGGTAAAATCTTTATTAAAACAACTAGTAAGTTAGGAGGAAAATGTAAGTTCTTGAGCCCTTTCAAAAAGGTAACAGCACACCTGTATTTCCAACTGCATTACTTGGTCTAAAAAAAGCTGTCACCTCCATCTATAGGTGCTCTGCTTAGTCCCTTTGTCAGTTAACTGCAATGGTTAAAGCACCATCGGTACATCGGTACTTTTTCCTTTACTGGCATTCCCTCCCTCCAGATTAGAGGAGGCAGCATACTTGCACTGTTTCACTATATATACCTTGTTCTTGAACTACAAAAAAACAGCAAAAACCAAGCAGTTTTTTCAGGGGGTTCTGAGTAGAGCACAAGTCAAATGCACTTGCCAACTTGGCCTTAAGAAAGAAAAGAGAGGCAGAGAGAGGGCTGGAGAGGGCAGGCTATTCTTTTCTCTTTTTCTGTTCTCGGATGCTCAGGGTAGAGAAACCATCCAGATTTTTGTGAGTTGCCTCCTTTGCTAATTATTCTAACAGATCTTTGTTTTTTAACCAAGGTTCAGGACTTTGTCAGCTACAGTTTGATTTTTGACTTGCTGAAGGCCTCTGAGTAAATCTTAACACAAATAAATAACTGCAACACAATGCCACTTCAACTACATTCAGCCGTATAACACATTAAATTATTAACTATCATTAGCACGCTTAACCCAAAACACCAACGTACAACCTGTGCACCTCTGCTTGTCAATCAGTTCCCAATGTGGGCCAAGTCTGAATTTTAGCCCAGGCCACCAGCCAGCCCTGGTAATTGACTCGGCACGTCCCAGTCTGTGGACGGCATTGTCAGCCTGCAGGTCCCAGAACAGCCCGGCACACCAACTGCACCCACGCCCTCTCTGCTCAGCAGCGTGCACCAGGGTGCTGGCACCTCTCTGCATGGTGCAGCCAGAGCTCCTGCTGCCGCAAATCCCTGCACCCGAGTGACAGCCCCACTGGCACAAAGGAGCGGGATGGAAACACCAGCAGCGACACATTCGCTGTCACCGATCACACCTGCCCCGCGCAGCAGCAGGGAGGACACGCCTGGTGCCCACTGACTCACCCACACCGGACCTCTCTAAGCTGCTGTGCCCCAGCTTGCAGCAGCCATCACCCAGGAGCTCACACACTGCAGTCTGGCTTCAACACCGGGCTAAGCGGGGTGAGGCCCTTCCTGTCCAGTCCAGCTCACCGCCCCCAGACCACGACTGCTCTTTGATTGCAGGCGGGGGACGGGGCTGTCCGTCCTCCGGGGCAGGGAGCAGGGCTCGCCCAAGCGCAGGACAGGGCTCGCGGCGGGCACTGCCTGGCACCAGGACGTGGGCAGTCACCTGCAGCTCACAGCACTACTGCTGGGAAATCCACTTGTGACTGCAGCTGGACACAGAGGCTGCTCGGCACCAGATCTCTGCTCTGCCACCACCGGGAGCAGGACGTTCTCCTGCCCCTGCCGAGGGGCCGCTTCCCCTCCCCGGGGGTGGTGGGGGCTCCTTTGCCGCAGCAGCAGCTTCTGCTGAGGGCAGGAGGCTGCCCAACATCATTACCCGAGAACGGCCATCTGAATTCGGACTGAGGGTCTGCCCAGCCCAGCTCACAATCTCCAGCACCAGCTGGCACGTGGGAACCCAGGAGGAGTAGGAACATGGTGAGAGTACGTGATACTGACCCCACATGTGTTTGCAGCTGCCAACTTCTTCAGCTCAGAGATGTCCTGTGGTTTGTCTATTTAGTAAACCTCAAAACACTCTCCTTTAAGTAATTGTTCTGTCTTCTTTTAAAACCATGTAAAATTTCACTTCCACATCATTCTTTAGCAAGGAGTTTCAGCAGTATAAATACCCATTCTTTGAAAACCCACTTTCTTCTGTTTTAGGCTTGACTTCATTGGATGCCCCCAGCCCCTGTACCAGAGGTGGTGAGCTAACATCCCTAGCCAGCCTGACCAGCACTGCCCCATCTTTCACTGCAACCCCTCTTTTTCCACACTGTGGAGTCCCAGTTGTTGGATCGCTCCTCGTGCAGAAGCTGTTCTGCACCTTCCACCCTCTCTACTGTCCTCCTCCAGTACCTCCTGTTTAGCAGAAGAGGACGCATCCACTACACATGTCGCTGTGTACAGCATCTCACCTGCAAAAGAAGGAAGGCAGATGGCTGTACCGGGAGGTCCCATGTGGCTCTAGTGACTGACCCTGCCAGACTGCCCAGCCGCTTCACTGCAGGAGAGCCCGCTGTAACAATAAGGCACTCTACCTACAGTGTTTTGGGGTTGAGATACCCCCAGTGTAAGTGCTCACAGAGATACAGGTGAATCCACTCTTATTCCAGTACCCAGGAAGGTAAAAGCAAGTGCTTACAGACTATGTGTCCAAAGGAACAGAGACTAAGGTGGAGGTGGCCTTGAACTGAAGACAGCCACGGGATTCCTTCACAATTGCCTGGGAAAGTTACTGAGACACAGATCTTGGAGGGGCCAGTTCCCTCTGTGGCCCCCTCCAGAGCCAGGGTCACAGATGTCAAGACCAGAAGACCCTCATGTCCACCTGCCACCCCAGGCCGTACCCGTACACACAAACCCTTCTGCTAATGAACTCCTGTGTGAACAAAAGCGCCTCTCATTCAAGAAGACATCCCACCCTGACTTTAAACTGCCTGTATGGAGCACCACTCTTTGCACCGACCCTCTAGCTCTGCCCTTCCCCATTAGCTGAATGGGTGGAGCTGCCTGAGGTGTTTTCTACCACAAGGATTAGGGATGAAGCAAGGCAGTGCCTGGGCAAAGTAGAGAAGTGAGGCAAGGAGGCCATGTGTGTCCGTACACTAGGGTAGGCACATGTTCTCTGCCTGCACCTCGGGGCATGCCTGGGAAGCTTCCCAGCTTCTGCAAGAGCATAGAAGGAGCGTCACGGTGTCCTGCAGC